TGATTTGATTTGATTTGATTTGATTTGAAGAGGCCCGAGAACTGTCAACCAAAAGAGGGCCCAGCAAACGTGGAAAAAACATTTACCTCCAGAACTAAAGTGGTTGGTGTTTCCATTTCCCAAATGTTGTAAGAAGAGGAAGTAATACAACACTGACATTCTTCCAAAATAACAAACATATTCTCTAAACTTGTCCCTGATATCAAATTTAATGATTATATTTTTTTTTTTAAAAGAGAGCGTTTTACTATTTAAAATGTATTCTTTGCAGTACTTGCAATGTCTTTCAAATATTTTAAAATCATCTGTTTATGTCAATATTGTCCTCAGCTGTCTGACTTTTCCTGGAGGCTAACTCACTCCTCTTAAACTGGTTTGGCCACATTATTCTGGCGCTCAGTGTTTACTGTAACCAAAAGTCATGTTTGAAAGGGCAGTAAACTCTACCAGTGATTGGCTTGTCGATGGCTGGTCAGAGATCTGTGGTGAACTTGTCCGGCTCACGGTCAGCCACACTTCTCCACTAGGAAGAGTGATGGTGTGAAACTTCCTCTGCAAAACTCTGTCTTGATCTGGAAAACATCCATAGACAGAGTCACTGAAACAGCCTGCATTTAAAAACAAATCTGAAAACATATTTTACAAATAACTGACTGTCCTACCTTCTTTTAACTTGAAACAGATTTTATAAACACTTCCTCCAAGTTTTTCAAGACTTCCGCAATTGCCTCCCCCGGAGTCTCGCCTTTTCTGAAAGAATCTCCTCACCTTCTCCTTTTCTCCGTCTGTAAAGTCAATGTCTTAAAAAAAGTGGGTATGGATATTTATCCATTTTATCTGCAATTCTATACTAACATGAGAACTTTCAATCCGTCTAACACTTGTTTGTGCCGCTCTGTGAGTGCATTTTTACTTTTACTTTTAAAGTATTGCCTTCTCATGTTTACACGGCCACACCCAGTAATGGAAAGAATTTAATTAACATTTAATTGTCAGGAGATGTTCTTGGCTCACCTGCTGTGCAGGTACTTTACAAGGTGTTTCAGCTGTCAGAGTTTAACTGTAAATTATATTTATGCCTTAATATGGTTTTGAGAAATGCATTTCACTAGTAATTATGGTGACAGCAAATTAGAGTTTGGACTTTGGATTGTATAGTTTATCTGATGTGATAGAAACTTTTCAAGAAATCTGAAACAACAAAATAATATTTCACAAGAACCCGACCATCCATCCATCTGCATGGGAGCTGGAGCCAACAAATCATACATTAACCCATGATTTGTTGGGTTAACCCTCTGAGGTCTAAAATATAATCGGCCATTTTTGACTACTTTTGATTTTACATTTGTATTTCACCTTCAAATTGTCTTTGTTTCCTTGCCTTGCTTGGTATCATTCTTTTTAGCACAATCTCATGTGTCTGAATTTACAATTATTTTTTCATTGATATACTGTATTACAGTTGTTCTTAGTTGATTTGTCCCTGTAAAGTGTGTCTAAAAGAGTCAGGAGATGTTGTGTATTGTATGGACCAAAAAGGGGAATATGGGTGAGGATGCACACATTGTAACAGTCCCTCTGTGCTGGCCTGGGACATCAGTAGTTACTCTCTGTCCAATGCGATTTCTTCCACGCCTTTGGCCAGATTGAAACCCGCCTCATCAATGTATATGAATGTGTGCAGTGGTTCCCTGGCTTCCAGCTCCAGTACATGCTTTAGAGAGAGAGAGACGGAGAGAGAGAAATGTAACAACTTTTCCTGGGTAACATAATGCATTTTGTATGTTCTGTGGATATAGATACAGAATTGCTAGTCTCCTGCATGAAACTACACAAAGTAAAACAGTTTACAGCGCTGAACATTCGAGTAGAAGACATGTTTTACCTATACATACTGGTGACAGATCTCCTTCACTCTTTCACTGTTCTGTTCAAATGGCACTTTGTACAATTGTTTCATGCGCATTTCATTTTTCTTGAGTACTCTGTCAATTGTTGCAATTGACACAGATCCAATATTGCCAAATACACTGTTATCCTCTATGACAGCAATTTTAATTTCTTTCAACTTTATTGCATTGTTTGCAATCACCATTGCACAAATGGCTTTGTCTTGCCGTAGGGTAAAAAGGGGCCCTCTTCCACCTCTGCAAGGTTGTCTTTCAATCCTTTGTGGTGCAGATTACAGTAAAAGTAATGTACACTGAACATGAGATATTATGAGATGTTGGATTACTGTCCAATACTATACATACCTGTTCCCCATACAAAATGTTTGAATGATTGAATTCACAGTGGTTGTTCCAACATTTGGTTGCACCCTCCGACCAGCCTCATCCGTTGTGAGGCCGTAATTGACAACATGGTCAACAAGTGTTGCCCTAAGTTCACTAGGGATCTGCCTATGTATTTGGCGTGTTCTCCCTCTTCCCCCTTAATTCAACAATTTTGTATGCAATGACTCAAGCAATGAAATGAAGACTATTAGTTTTATTTATTATTCAGCATCCAAAAGTATAGTTCATTTTGACTGACATGCCATAAGCAAATGATAATGTTATAAAACGGCAGAGAATTGTGTCCTGGCAGTGCTTGTGGTCGTGAAGTGAAAACACACACGCAGTGACTCCATCCCAAACAGCTTCCTTAGTGGTAATACAGCTCCCGTGACTCCTAGTGACAAAACACACATACAACACAATGACTAAGCAATCTTTAGCATAAGGAAAGCTTTCACACAATAACATGTCCGAGCAATACTACCGAGTTTCACACAATGATCCAACGCTGACTGAAGCCCAATCACACCGTCAAATAGACGGCCCCAAAGATGGCAGATAATAAGCCACAGCTGCGATCAACTGCAGGTGCGGCAGGTGCGGCAGGTTTCAGCGGTAGTACTTGTCTCAACTTGGAGGTAAGCAAACCCGTCAAGAGAGAGAGAAAGCGAGGGAGCGAAATACAAACATCGACACAACGAGCAGGCAACCCAGCGGGGCTGTCAGACCATGACAATTTTCACATGAATGTCTGTTTACACTTACATAATTTGTCTTCATCTAATATACAAATCTCTAATAAATTAATAAATTTTATAAATTTTATTTGGGACAGTGCATGTTAATGAACATACATGTAAAATAAGAATTTCCATGAATGTAAACATACCAGATTATAGCCAAAGGCTAATTTCCATCTGTTGTCCAAAAACATATTTAAAATGGACATAATAATTCATGAAAAGTTCATAATTCATACATAATAAGAACTCCATCACCAAACTCACACATACAAACCATTCTATTCCCAAGTAAAACATTAAAAGTATACAACTTATACATGATCACACACTTGATTTGTCCGTAACCAGTTTTTAACCTGTGCCTTAAACAAGGTGAATGTAGAGCATTCTCTAATGAATTAAGGAAGACTGTTCCACCAATGGCCACCCTGGACAGAGAGGACGTTCTGCCCAAATGCTGTCTGTCTGTGGAGTATAAACAAGTCTCAGCGGGTTGTGGCTCGAGTGGTCCTGTCTAAGCTTTCTTTACGCCTAATGAACTCCTTTAGTGGTGGTGGAGACTTTATATATTAAGCACACTCTTTTACATTTCACTAAATTATTGAAGTTTGATAATTTATGTTTTTTTAACACATGACAGTGGTGATAGGAAGTCAATTTTTTGTCAAGTAATTTTAAACTTCTTTTATAAATATTTTCAATAATTTTAAGTGTTGTTGGACAAGCAAGTGACCAGGACGTCAAACAATAATCTAAATGAGAGATAATCATTGAGTAAAAATATGTTTTTGCAACGTTCATATTTAATCAGCTTCTAAAGCTCAGAAGCTAATCTTTAGACTCCAATTAAAGTAAGCTTAGTTTATTATGCATTAAGAAAGAATGACATGGATTTTCCACATATGGTTAGAATAACATTGTTGAAATGTTCATATTTTAGGTATAAATTGACAGAAAGACCAGAAGTGACCACACTTCTTACATAATTTATATGTTGAATTGTCTCGACATCAACAGTGATCTAAGCCTCTTTAAAAATATTTTTTCCTATTCAGTGCAAAGGGTTGGAAAATCTGCCTCTCCTATTTTCATCTCACTCTGCTGAATAAGCAGACAGACTGTACAGTGGCAGAAGTAGTTACACAAAGTTACACTTATATTGTCATGAACATCCAGTTTTCTTTTTCTCTTTAAATTTAAGTTCAGGAATTTAAGCACAAAGACTTTTGAAGATCGATTTATGTACTGTTTAATGTTGTGCAGTTGAGCAAATAATTAACTGTCCAGTTCTTCCTACAGAGCACTGGCGTGCACAGATAGAGACGAGGTGGTGCTGAAGCACTTGCCCTTTTGCCCTCAGTCCAAAAAAGTGCCCTTTTGAAAGA